TAGGTAGTATTGTTTGGTGATATATTGTATTGCTTCGTGCAACTTTTGAAGTTTCGCAATTGATAGCGATTGCTTTTTTGAATGATACGGAAGAGAACTTATCAGCTGTTCAGCGATAAAAAGAGTATTTAGTGTGGTATATTGGCATGAAGATGAGACGAATTATTGTTTATTCTTTACAGAGGTGAATGAGTTTGGAACCGTATTATATTATACGAGAAAACTTTTTCGTATTCGTGTTTTTAAGAGGAAAATTGGGTATTTGTTTGCTCGAAATTGGGCATTTGGTGGAATACTTGAATATTAGTCGGTGGGAATGATAATTTCAAGAAGTGCTCGTTAAAATGCGAGAAATTTCAGTCGATGTTATTATGTGATGAGGATTTAACTGATGTGAGACTGGAACGTTTGATTGAACAGTTGAGCGCATGCTCGCTGTCGAACGTGCTAGAACAATTACGAGTGGACGGCCTTATCGCGAAACAGCGACCACAAACAGGTGCTGATATTATCACTAATCGGTCAACAAAAAACCAAGCGACCCTTTCCTATTAGTAAGTCATTTTTAGTGATGCTGATTTCGTTTTTATTTGTTTGCATTCAGTTGTTTGCATTCGGTTGTAGGTGATTCTTTTTTGAATCTTCACAGTGGAAGTTATGTCACTGGATTAACGATTATATGTCTTACGTGTGGTTCTGATTTTGTGGTGATTACGAATTGAATCGAGTGGTGTAGAGAGGATGATGTGTTGTGTTACGAAAGAGTCCAAGTTTTGAAATCGCCTGTTATCAGCGATATATTCAGTCAAAATGATTATCAGTAAAAACTCGCTCACTCTCTCGTTATCAGAAAGAAAAAGCAATATACGCTGATGGAATCATTGTTTTTGTCGGTGTTTGATTCATACGATGATTTGCAAATGAATCAGTGTGGGTGCGATGATCGCTATTTTGTCTTGTTGTGGATTAAGTGAATGATTAATTAATTGATTGATTGGCTAATTGTAAAAATTTCAGTTATCGGCATTTCTTCAATCACCGTTTCCATGTGGATATCGTTGATCAAACGAATGAGGCATTCAGTGAAGTGGAACGATGTGAGACGATAACTGTGGATGATCGACCGGGAATGGTTGTGGCTGCTATGCGATGTTTTTATTCGGATGTTAGTGAGGATTCAGTTGGATTGCTTCAGATTAAATTTGATTGCGTTTATATTGTGTATGAGAAGGATAAGTAAGGCTTCATTAAGATGAATACATAAAATTGTTGACTTTACCGAGGCATTAGGTGTCTGTTCAGTAAAATATCGTGTCATTTTGCAGTTATCACTGGATTTGACGATGCCCGATGACCTGCTGCAAGTATTCGATACTGGTTCTGAGGTGGGTTGGTCAATAATTAGAGTGGTAATGTTGCTGCATTTTGAACGACATTCACTCATATTGTTTGTTCACAACGTTCACTGAGTTCGGCAATTAATTATTAGAGTTATTCTTCAGCAACTTGCGAATGTCACAAAGCATTTACGCTATTTGGAGTCGGCGGATCTGCATTTGGAACGCATCAAAGTAACACCCGTAAAAGGCACTCAACTACCCCCGCCACTACCGAGTTCAGAGGAGATTTTTGCATCACTGCGAAAAATCATACCGAAAGATAAGCTGAGCGGGATTCCGTTTGATGACTTTCTGCTGGCATATTCCATAGAACAACGTGCCGTACTGAGAGGTGTCTACCAAGTTGCAGCCGACAGTAACATTTTTGGGACATCTCTCGAGGAAATTAAGGTAGATTTAGATTTCGATTGTTTTTGTTTGATTGCTTAATTTGTTCAAGCGATTTATTTCTCTTTTTTTTTGTTTAATCTCTCCTCTGTTTACATTTTTGAGTTGATAGTAAAAATCGTATTAAAAGATAAGCTGACGGGAATAAAGCAATCGCATGGGAATAAAGCACTTTTAAACGATATATCGAATGTGATATCGAATACTTTGAAACTTTCAAATGTGGTGATATTTTAAAGGAGAAATTGGCAAACAGCACGACGAATGAGGATATCGAATGGGCGTTGCAAGAAATGCAACGAGAAGTGCAGTTGGTGTTGGTGGGTGTGGACTGCGATCGTTACGTGACAGCCGCGAATGGACAGTGCTGGATTTTGAACGGTGAACAGGGTTCGTTCTTTGCCGAGCCGTGGACCACTCTGAACGGAGACATTAATCCATCAACTGTTCGGTGAGGTTTTATGAGTATTAGTAATCATTGTTGTTGTGAATATTGAGTAATATTCATATTGAATGTGTATATTGGTAACCTTGGCCGTGTGTCCTTATGAATATTGTATAAGTACTAGTAGTGA